TTGTATAACAGTTAACTTCCCTCATTTTGCTTTTCTTGATTTCCTTCTTTTCATTTCTAATACCTTTTATTCTTCTTCCATGGGGAAAGATATCCCTCATGGTGCACATTCGCAATTACTTAGATAGAATAAATAAGCAGTGACGTCCAGTGTAGGACGGACAACACAATTTTATAAGTGCCATCAGAAAGCCTCCATTATATTGTTTTTTTCTTAACCATTCTTCCATAAAAAACAATTGTAAGGTCACTGATGTTGGACGAGTAGGCCTTGCTCGCACTCTCAACTGTAAATCATCCCACAGTTGTTCTGTCAGGTTGAGGTCAGGACTCTGTGCAGGTCAGTCAAGTTTGTCCACATCAAACCTACTCATCCATGTCTTTATGGACCTACTTTGTGCAGTTATGTGCAGCGATGTTGGAACAGGAAGGGGTTGTCCCCAAACTGTTCCCACACAGTTGGCCAAAATGTATTGGTATGCTGAAGCATTAAGAGTTCCTTTCACTGGAACTAAGGGGATGAAACCAGCTCCTGAAAAACAATCCCACACCATAATCCCCTCTCCACCAAACTTTACTCTTGGCACATTGCAGTCAGACAAGTACTGTTGTCCTGACCACCATCAAGAACAGACTCATCAGTCGGATATCCAGACAGAGAAGTGTGGTTCATCACTTTAGATAACATGTCTCCACTGCTCTAGAGTCCAGTGGCAGCTTGCTTTACACCATTGCATCCCACTCTTTGCATTGTGGTTGGTGATGCAAAGCTTGGATACAGTTAGTCGCCATAGAAACCCTTTACACAGGGCTCTCTACGCACTGTTCTTGAGCTAATCTGAATGCCACGCGAAGTGTGGAGGTCTGTAGTGACTGTCTGCACAAAGTTGGTGACCTCTGAGCACAATGCTTCTGCTTACTCTGTAATTTTACATGGCCTACTACTTTATGAGTTGCTGTCATTCCCTATCGCTCCCACTTTGTTATACTGCCACTAACAGCTGACTATGGAATTTTAGGCTACGTCCACATGTACATGGGTATTTTTGAAAATGCAGCCTTTTCTATGCGTTTGGGCCTTTCAGCCACATGTAAACGGCGTTTTGGATCATTGAAAACTGAGATTTTTTAAAACTCTTTGCATTTACGTGTGGACGAGGAAAACTGAGATTTAGTCAACCAACGTCAAAGGTGTGTGCCATTTTTGACTTCACGCTGTGTTTACATGAGATAAATTTCTACAATGGCAGATATAGACAAAATACTGTTGCAGTTTTTTCACGCTTATATACACACACACGGAGTTACTTTCCCTCCATTTAGAAAGACTGAGGCGTCAGAGTGAACTTCTACTTCTGTGGCTTCTACATTCAACACATATGCTCTCACAACCCAAATCCCAATGCCAAAGTCGTCTGTTTCGGACGAAGACTGGGTCGAACCACCTCTTGATAGACAACTTTGAAAGCACGGAGGTACTTCCAGAAAAATGGCGAGAGAATTTTTGCATGTTGAGGACTTCACTTTTGGCTCTTTGTGAGCTACTTCGTCTGCACATTGAAGCCCAAACAACGAAAATGAAGTTGCCTGTCAGTGTTGTAAAAAAAAAAAGTTGCATGCACATTGCATTATTTAGCTGATGAAGTGAGGTTATGCAAGACTGCAAACGCTTTCGGACTATTAAGGCAAGTGGTGTTGAAAATTGTAAGACAAGTTTGTACTGCAATTACTGTTCACTTGGGCCCTGTGTTTATACAGTTACCAGCAAGTACAAAGTAGAGGAACTTGTAGCAGGGTTTTACTGAGCCTATGGAATTCCTCAGTGTGTTGGTCCTGTGGATGGGACCCATGTGGAAATAAAGCAACCATCCATGAATTCTATGGACCATGTTAACAGGAAGGGGAGGTTTTCTCTGAACATACAAGCCACCTGTGACTAAAGGTATTAATTTATTGATGTTGCGTTGGCAAGGCAGTGTACACAAAACCCATATTTTTGCAAATTCTATGCTGAACACACATTTCAAAAATAGCATGAACTGTGGAACATAAAGAGGCAATTCCAGTTTTCCTTATTGAGGATCCAGCATACCCATGGCTTCCTTACCTAAAGAAAGATTACGCAACCGTGGGAAGCACTGCTCACGAACACTATTTTGGTCTATGCTTAAGTCGAGCTCATTGAATTTGTTTTACAGACTGAAAGCATGGTTTGGAGCATTGCAAAGGCCCTGGCAAGTCTCCCAGTTCGTGTTTTCATGTGTTTTTGCTGTTTTATATTCCAGCGTGATATTGAGGAATAATTCCACCTCACTGTCCCTCCACACATAGGACTCCTTTCTGCTTTTATGTGCCATCTTTGTTTGTGCTTAACTGGCCAACATGGTTAGGATTATTTTGCCACCTTTTTTTTTTTTTTGCATGTTCTTGACAGCATTTGATTTGTTTTTTATGGAAGCCCGTTTCCGCCACTAAAAAAAAAAAAGCTAGTATCCATAACTCGAAATTTCGAGTTAGCTCTGCCAATCAAAAATATACGTGAATGAGGTCGCTTTCTTGTTACCCGGAAGCATATGGCGCAGGACCGCGCACTCAAAAACGGATCCCAACAAATTAAAGTATGTTTGCTGATAGTAACACCATGTGATTCAGCTAATAACACAGGGATTTCATCATTTGTGAAGCCAGGCTGAAAACACTCAGCAATCTGTGCATTCACGACTGGATGTAATACCGGTAGCTTAGCTGTAGCATTTGTAGCTGAGGGCTTCAGCTTCCGGGTAACATGGAAATGACGTCATTCACGTAGATTACTGATTGGCAGCGCTAACTTGAAATTTCGAGTTGCTTTTCTCAAAATTTTGAGTTAATAAATCGAAATTTCGAGTTATTGTGTCGAAATTTCGAGAAACTAACTTGAAATTTCGAGAAAATAACTCGAAATTTTGAGTTATGGATCCTTTTTTTTTTTTTTTAGTGGCGGAAACGGGCTTCCATAGGTTTTTGCCTTTAGATGTGGACAGAGATATTTTTTCAAAACTGCACGTGTGGTCCGGATTTTTTTTTTAACGAAAACTGAAAATCTCTGTTTACAAAAGTACCCGTGTACATGTGGACATAGCCTTGGTAGGCAGGAAATTTCACGACTGTACTTGTTACACAGGTTGCGTGGTACCATACTGGAATTCACTGAGCTCCTGAGAGCGAAGCATTCTTTTACTCATGTTTGTAGGAGCAGTCTGCATTCCTAGGAGCTTGAGTTCATACACCCTACACCACGAGAGTCATTGGAACACCTAAACTCAATGATTTGGATGGGTGAGTGACTACTTTTAGTACAGGGTGTGCCATTTATATGGATACACCGTAATAAAATGGGAATGGTTGGTGATATTAAAGTCCTGTTTGTGGCACATTAGTATATGTGAGGGGGCAAACTCCTCAAGATGGGTGGTGACCATGGTGGCCATTTAGAAGTCGGCCATCTTGGATACAACTTTTGTTTTTTCAATAGGAAGAGGGCCATGTGACACATCAAACTTATTGGTAATGTCACAAGAAAAACAATGGTGTGCTTGGTTTCAACGTAACTTCATTCTTTCATGAGTTATTTACAGGTTTCTCTTTGTTCACAGCCATTGACATGTCGAAGAGGTTAACACGTGAGGAGCGGATTGAAATTGTGTTGATATCTGGTGAACGCAGTAACCGGGTCATTGCAGCAGATTTCAATGCAAGACACCCTACGAGACCACCTATCTCCCATGCTACAGTTAGCAAACGGCTTGCTAAGTTTCATGAAACTGGTTCAGTGTTGGATTTGCCAAAATGTGGACGCAAGAAAACTGTCACTAATGAAGAAACATCAGTGGCTGTCCTAGCTTCATTCAGCAAGAGCCCACAGCGTAGCACTTGCCGCATGTCACTGGAGAGTGGCATTAGTCCAACATCCCTTCTGCGGATATTAGCTATTCACAAATGGCACCCTTACAAACTCCAGCTACTGCAGCATCTCAACGAGGATGACCCAGATCGGCGCACAGAATTTGCAGAATGGGCAAAACAAAAATGGGAACAGGACCCTCAGTTCACGCAGAAGATTTTGTTCAGTGATGAGGCAAACTTTTATGTGAATGGTGAAGTTAACAAACAAAACCACTGCTATTGGTCTGACACTAACCCACATTGGATGGATCCCTCCAAGACTGTTGGAACAACAAAAGTGATGGTTTGGTGTGGTATATGGGGTACAACGATAGTGGGTCCATTTTTCATCAATGGAAACCTCAAGGCCACTGGATATTTGAAATTGCTACATGATGATGTGTTTCCCTCTTTGTGCACTGAAGCTGGCACGTTCCCTGAGTTTTTCCAGCAAGATGGTGCACCACCACATTATGGGTGCCAGGTCCGAGCATTCCTAGATGAACAGTTTCCTGGAAAGTGGATTGGTCGTCGTGGGCCAGTTGAATGGCCCCCAAGGTCTCCCGATCTGACCCCCTTAGACTTTCATCTTTGGGGTCATCTGAAGGCAATTGGCTATGGTGTGAAGATACGAGATGTGCAGCACCTGAAACTACGGATACTGGATGGCCATATATAAATGGCCATATAAATGGCCCACCCTGTAGTACAGTATATTTTCTATCCATTATCTGGGAAATATATACCATGTTACCCAGTGAGACTTACCTGGACTGTCATGGTGATACATAAACCCCAGTAGGAGGGCGTGGAGGCAGTGGACAGTTTCAGGTTTTGGGTGGTGTTGTAGCCTCTTGAACCAGAAAACAGTCACACAGACTGGCAGCTTCAGATGGTCGGGGATGTTTCCTAAGTCTAAAGTCTGAACCTGCAGAGCTTCTTCAAACACCCTGCGACGCAAATCTTCAGGAGCCTGCACAGAGAGGTACCACACAGACAAGATGCTCATGTGTACCACGGAAACACGTTTATGGCCTGTCAGAGTAATTAAACACATTTATTGATTAACATCAGTACCTCATGCAGACGCTCTAGTTGCAGTTGTTTCTGATCATCACTGCTGAGGAGTATTGATGGGACACGCTTGTCTTTGATCTCTTCTCTATCCCTGTCATATTCAGTGCACATCTGACCTCCAGTTAACAGTCCATAGAAGTACTGTCTGATGCAGTAAGCAGCAGTGTAACTGCTTGGCTGTGAAAAGTCCTCCACAAGAGCAGGCAGGATCATTGTCTTCTGATCCACAATATTTATGACGAAAGTGGTGAGTTCTCCACGCTCAATTTTTTGAAGAACCCATAAAGGCAGCTCAGAATCAGTCTTTGTTGGTTCAACATATTTTTGAATGGAGAGTTTGAAAGATCTGTCCTCGATCTCACGAACGTGATTTACAGCATTTTGCAGAGCTTGTTCTCTCTTCACTGAATCATTACAGCTGTCCAGCTTCAATTTGCTTAAAAATGTGAGCATACCATACAGTCGTTTGATGTCGTTTTGGCCAGGTGAAGATGATTCATTTGCAAATATTTCTTTACCTAATCTTGAACAATCATTTCCTGCTATTGAAGCAAAGACTGGCATGAGAGCAGGGTCCAATTTAAAATGCTCACAAAACTTTGAACGTGTGTAGAGCTTAGCAGGAATTTTTCCATCCTTCTTTCTTTTCCACTCAAAGTGTTTAAGATGAAGGAAACCTTTGTGCACATCATAGATGCAGAAATCTGTGTCAATGGACAGCACAGCACATTGGTTCTGATTTGCAGCAGAAAAAATCTCAGGGTCTGCCTCTCCTAAACACTGTTTAAACTCTATGTCTTTCTCCTTCAAGATTTCTATGAAGACATCTCTGACCAGAGGTGGTAAGACGTTAGGCCTGTATCTTTTTCGTACAGTGCAGCCAAGCTCAGTCTCTGCTACTGTCTTTGCTTTTTCCAGTTTTTTTTTTAGATGAGACACAAGATGTTCACGCTTGTCAGATCCTGAGCCTCCATCCAGGAAGACGTACGGAGTGACTTCACAGTCCTGCAGAGTCTTAAAGAAGTTACAGACCTCATCTTTAAATCCAGGATAATCTCCTCCACAGCGCTGGTCCAGCTTCAGATTAGAGTAATAATACAAAAAATAGTACAGAGCTGCACCATCAATGATGAGACCTGTTTTTTCTATGTTAACCTCCTCACAGAGAGAAGGTATCTGATCTAGCAAGTCCTCTAACTTTAAAATTCCCATTATTGCTTAAAGTGTGGTGAAGGTGAGCGGTGGTTATTGTGCTAATGCCTCTGTGTCTGCAGATATTTATACACCTACTAGAACATCGTACAGGTACACACCCACACTGACAGATCCAGTCACACCTGCTCTGACTAATCTAGCATACCTATGTTACTCTTTTGGTTTCATTTCTTTCATCTTCATCTTGTGGCTTTCAGTTTTATTTCACTATGTGGTGCAAAATGAAATGTGTTTCATTAACTTTCCAGCTCTGTTAATATATCAAAGATACTTAGTTCTTTAAGATAAGAAAACGATACGATAAACCTTTATTAGTCCCAAACTAATAAAGGTTAAAAAAGGTTTTATTATCAACACATGTCCCAACTGGTGTTTAAAAAATCAGTATTTAAATTCAGTAATGAACTATGTTGTGAAGAGGAGCTTTTCAAATTGAGAGCCACTGCTAAAGAAAGGCACGATTTTACCACCTCTCGGGTTGATCACTGTAACACTGCCTATTCAGTCCATGTTCTCCTTTCTTTACTACAAACAGTCCAAACTCAGGTGCACTGGCTTTCTGTGAAACAATGAATTGATTGACTCATTAGAGCATTCACCCATACTTTTAAATAACAGAGTGAAAACAGTGTTTGTGATAAGCTAGAGAGAATCATTACTTCAGACTGTCATCGGATTATTGTGAGAAAACCTGATATTGTTGGAGACTATGTGAGGAGCAGGCATTGCACTGAAGTAAAACACATTTACAAAAGATTTCAACATTTCATATCTTGACTCATGAGCTTTGAATAGCTGCAAATCACTGCAGTGTGTTTGTATTCACATTTCTAGGTTTCTAATCAGAGGTGAAACAACTAGAGTCATTTGTCACCTAAGTAGAGGTAGAGATACTTGTTAGAATCAGAATCAGAAAGGGTTTATTGCCAAATGTTGAGCAGGTTTACAACATCAGGAAATTGCTGCGGTGCTTCAGTGCAAACATATTGTCATAAATTACGCTTAAATAGACAAGAAAATGAAAGTAAGAATAAAAATTAAAAGTGCTACGTAGAAAGATATATACATGAGTGCAGGTGGTGATCAGTGCCAAACATGGAATGATGCAGTGAACACAGCGTAGGGTCATGTGTTAGTGGTGGGAACAGTCATACGGTTATTGTTCATGTGTCCAACAGCAGAGGGGAAGAAACTGTTCTTATGGCGAGAGGTTCTGGTGCGAATGGACCGGAGCCTCCTGCCTGAGGGGAGCAGGTCAAACAGACTGTGTCCAGGGTGAGAAGGGTCAGCTGAGATCCGAGCTGCACGCCCCAGTGTCCTGGTGGTGTACAGGTCCTGCAGAGATGGGAGTCTGCAGCCAATCACCTTCTCAGCAGAGCGCACAACACGCTGCAGTCTCTGTTTGTCCCTGATAGTGGCTCCAGCGTACCACACGGTGATGGAGGAGGTGAGGATGGACTCGATGATTGCAGTGTAGAATTGCATCATCGTCCGTGTTGGCAGGTTGAATTTCTTCAGCTGCCTCAGGAAGTACATCCTCTGCTGGGCTTTCTTAATGACGGAGGTGATGGTGGGCTCCCACTTCAGGTCCTGGGTGATGGTGGTACCCAGGAAGCGGAATGAGTCCACAGAGGTGACGGGGGTGTCAGTCAGGATGATGGGGGGGAGTGGGGCTGTGTGCTTCCTGAAGTCCACAATAATCTCCACTGTCTTCTGGGCGTTCAGCACCAGGTTGTTGTGGCTGCACCAGGACACCAGACGTTCAACCTCCCTCCTGTAGGCAGACTCGTCCCCGTCCGAGATGAGTCCAATAACGGTGGTGTCATCTGCAAACTTGATTAGCTTGACAGACTGGTGGGTGGAGGTGCAGCAGTTGGTGTACAGGGAGAAGAGCAGAGGAGAAAGAACACAGCCCAGAGGGGAGCCGGTGCCATATTAATATAATATTAATGCATAATAATGAAAAGTTTATTTCAATTAATGTAATCACCTTGAACATCTGTTATGTAGAAAGTAAGCAGAGGAAAACATTGTACAGATGTGGTCAGAAGATTGCATACTCTAAAAGATTAAGAATAACCCAGGAACCACCAAGGCTGCAAAACCAACAGCTGAGTTAGTAAGTTACACATGAAAGCAGTAGAAAGAAGAACAAAGATAGTCTCTGTCACCAGCTGCATCTGGAGCGGCCCAGCATCCACCTATTCCTTTTCACTGTTCACAGCACTGTTTGTTCCTTATCTATTTCTTCCTTTCTCTAAGATGATGTGGACTTGAAAGAGCAGTTTGTAAGAACTGATCCTGCCACTGAGACAGGTTTCTCAGGTAGGAGGAAAGTAGCTCTGTGCATCTTGACCATGTTTGGCTCCACTCCACAGTGAACTTTATCAAAACTAAATACCGATCCCAGCTCATCAATGAGCACCCCACATGTGTATAAGGATGACCCTGACTCCATTCAAGCCCAGGTTTAAAATGCTGTCAGAATAAGCTAAAGCTCAATTCATTCACTGAGCAGAAAAGTGGGGAGTTGATTAAATATGGAGAGAAATTTGCACCCAAATGTCTGAAACTACACGTAACATCTCCCTCACTCACTCACAAAACCTCAAATACGTGTGCACCGGTCACCTGGTACACACAGATCATATCACATGCCCACGTGGGGTTCACACAGATCGACAAGTGCAAGCTATGTTCAAGTCCCAGTGTAAAACTGGGACTTCTGGGCTTCAACTGTGTACCTGTGTCTATTTGTTTTGTTTTGTTTGTTTATTCTTTTTACTTATTTCAAATAAAGGGGACACTTATGCTCCCAGCAAGGTTTTTGAAAGATAAAATTATCAGATTCATGAAGCTAAACTTAATCAACTGTTTGTTAATGATCAGTATTTACACGGGTTTGGATTTATGCATTTGTAAAATAGTCTTGTGTGTTCAGATTGATTCTTATTTCTGTGTGGTTTGAAGCACGCACATGTGAGTCCTCAAAAGTTACACACAAATCATTGTACTCATCTGTAAATATTATTTTACGCTTGTGGATCATGTTGTATGCATTTCCAACACTTTTAAGGCAAATTTCTCTCTTTTTCGACCTCTTTAAATTTTAGTTGAATACCCCTAATATACTGTTTATGCTGTGTTTATATTAGACTCTGCAAAGCTGGTATGAAGGTGGAATTCAGTGAATGAATCTCAGGATCATCATCTAAAAGTCATCTGAATCTCTGCTACACTTGATGTAACCTACCATGAAACCACAGACACTGTGCACCAGTCACACACGGTTCTTTACTTTGAATCCATGACAGTACAGCAAACTAACCTGTTAACCTGCACTAACCTGCAGAGGATGTTCATATAACCTTTAACACAGTTTACCTCCGTTTGTTTAGCAGCAGGTTTCACAATATAAAAAAGCACAATGTCACATTACAGACCCAATGTGTGATTTAAAATCATGAGGACTTACATGTAAGCTTTAAATGAGCAGTCCTTACCTTTAAATATCACCTGCCTGTGAAATACAGCAGCTGGACCTTTAGCTAGCAGCACAGTTTGTGCATTTGTTAAGCTGATAGAAACATTGCGTTTGAAATTACCTGCCACTTAAAAATAGTTTACTCCTTTTATGTTTTTATTGTCTTTATTTTTATCTCATCTTCAGTAGAGCTAGCTAGATGCTGAAGCAACATACAGACACCTGCAGTGTCATGGTCCGGAGTCTGGTGACTCTGTGTTTATGTTTTGTTTTCTTATATTTATATGATTTAGTGGTTTGTCATGACTTTGTCTTTCGTATTTCTAGTATTCTTAGTTATTCTTTGGTAATTTAAAGATTTTCCAGGCCTTAGGTTTTGTCAGTGTGCCTACCTTGTGTTCCTTGTGTTACATCTAGAGTCCTGGTTTCTATGTTCGTGTATTTCCTTTGACAGTGCCATGCCCCGCGTCAGTGTATTCTGTTTGCTCCCCCTCTGTCTTATCTCGTTTGATTATGTTTAGCTGTGTTCTCTGCCTGTTTGCCATTTCCTCGTTTCCCTCTGTGTACATTTATTGTGTGTGTTCACCTCTGTTCCTCGTCAGATCGTCTGTTTTCTCCAGGGTGTAATGTGTCTCATTCCCGGTGTTTATGTCTCAGGCTCCGCATTCCTGGTGTTCAGGTTTTTGTAACATTTACTAATAATAGTACTACTAATTACTTTCCTCATGTTCTTTTGTTAGTTTATCCCAGTGTAGGTTTTGTTAGTCTAAGTCCCCCTCATGATCTGCTTTTGTTTCATTTTGTCTTTCACTAAATAAATTCACTCACAGCTACGCTGTCATCAGTGCCTGCACTTTGGTCTGCTTTCTCTTCTCTCCACACGGTTCCCTCGCCAACTGTGACCAAACCAGTTAACCTCTGACTATGGCACACAGTTTTGCCTATTTGGTCTCTTTTCATCAGTCAGTATAACACATAATACATCCTAGATAAGCGGAAGAAAATGGATGGATGGACAACGGGTTTACTTGTAGCACAGAACTATGGAGCCCAGCACAGCACTGCTTAATCCCTTGTGTTTGGAGCTTTTTAATGTTTGAATTATGAACAGGCCAGTGTTTTATCAAAGAATCAACCATTCATTGTTTGTTTAAATATATACTAGTTTTACTGTAGTGTTTAATTGCTTGAAGCAAAATATAATAAAATGAGGGGTTACTCAACAATTCTGCACAGTACTATATTTAAACAAACTGATAAACATCAGACTGAAAAAAAGCAAATTATTTTAATGCTGTTAAAGCTAAACAATCACCAATGGTCAGTATTTGATACCAACTGGAGACCAACACTATTGGTTGCTGCTACAGTTCAATATGAAATAGAATAGATCTTTATTGTCACTGTTACAAGAACAACGAAACACAGTTTGGCATCTCTCCGTTGGCAGCATGTAGATTTACACTCAGATTCTTACAACGTAAGTATCTAGAAAGTAAGATAGTCATTTTTTATCTTTACAAAAAAAG